GTTAAATTAGTACGGACCATTAGACTGTTATATGCCGACCTTTAGTGGACAAAGTTATTACCACCGGGGCCGGTATCACTAATAAGGCCACTCCCTTCTTCCACACTAAACATACATCACATGAAACCCAGCAAAGTTTTGCAATATACAAAAATGGCATGACATATTCCAAATTCAGAAGCGTGACGATTTCAAATTGCGTTTTGTACTTTCAGTATTCCTGTCGAAATAGTTTTAATATTAAAATTCTTTTTAAACTAAAATAAAAGTACCAATAATCGGCAACGTGGACTTTTTCTATTATATGAGGGATGGAATTCCAGAGGTTAATTAAACAGTTTTTATAACTTAAGTGAAATCATTTTTATGAACTTGTTTCATAAAGAATTTATTTAAAACGAAAGGAAATACATTTGTTTAAATATGTTCTTTCGTTGATCTGTTTTTTTAGCTACAATATTCGCCAATCTTCTTTTTTAATCCTAGCTTCCTGATGAAATATTATAAGTAGCTACTACTACAAACAAAGTTAGATAAATTAAACATCTCTGTTGATGAGGTATTTCCGTTTATATATTTAATTGAACGTACCTGTAGACGATTATTTAATATTCTGGCTACGCAAAATAAAAACGTTGGTCAGAGGATAGCTCATAAGCTGTTTAATGAAACTGTCCATGAACATTTTTAAACGTTTGATATAGCAGGAGTAAAATTAAGCTTTGAGTCTATTTTAACGATAAACATCAAGCAAAAAATTTCATTAGAGTCAACTTTCGACATGTTAGGCGATATTTTTGTCAACATATTTTCAGATAAAACTGCTATCGTGTCGTACTTGCATGCATAATTCATCGTACTATGATTAAAAAAAGACTTTTAATAACAACTCAACTTTTAATAATGTAATCTTTTAAATCAAATATCAAATAGTTTTCTTAATAAATTCAAAACAATTGCTATAGATGTGTTATAGATGTGTTAAAGAAGCTGTAGTACTTTTGAAATCATATTATTTGAGTGTTGAAATAAACTTTTAAAATTCCTTAATAGAGTCCCAGCAGAACTGAAATAACTATTTTATTATTAATAACAACAACTTTTCTAATTTTAGTCATTCATAAAAATCGTAAACCATTTTATACGAAACTTACTTTATACGATATTTAAAAAATGTGTGGATTTCATCCAATTGACATTACTCCGTGTATAAACACACGTACGTCGTCTACGCAGACGTAGTCGTGGGCAGCAGCTAGTGTGTAATATAAGTACCAATGAAATCGATGGTGCGTGTATTACAATCCACATGTGCACGTCACGCTTTTGTATTGTATAATTTCATTATTTCATAGATATATGCATGTGTTTATAATATGGTGGACTAATAAGCACAGATAATTTAAACCCACGAAAAACTTCTGGTTTTGAAAACTTTCATAAACATTAATTTTCCTTGTTCATGGGCGAGTTTCCAACCTCAAACCACATTCGACCTGAATGACCGCGCGGAGTTTCAACACATTCGGCCGTACCTTACGGATATGTATATTTATTTGAAGTGGTTATTGAAACTTTACAAGAGCCACATTATTTAAAATTATCTCTAGTTAAATTGTAAATATAAAACGAATAATTTATTTTTTCATCGTTATTACTCGTACACATTTTACATTTTACATTACCTACCGTAAGATTTGTTCAATTGTGTTTGTAACAGGGCTCTTAATGTTTTTTCTCACTTCATTTTTATACAAATATACTGAATATAGTGATAAGATCAAATAAGATTTATGGTAAACGTTCCAATATTTAAAATGATTCCTTTCACGGCTTCAGCCATTGTAGCTGATCCACAATATGCTTAGCACAATTGAGAAGAATTTACTTATATGTTTTACTTACTGTTTTATTTTTTAATTTACTTATTGTTTTAATTTACTTATACCACCTCAGGACGTTAACAAATCGTTGGAAGTCTACCTATACATTGGTAGATACTTGCTATGGGCAAGTACTCTTTTATCGGTAACTAATTTGGCTGGGTAATGATCTAATGCTGTTTTCGAGGATAACATATATGACTAATATCATTTATTGGGATGTCAATACATATTAATACCAAACGTGACAAAATTTATCCTAATGACTGGTTATTGTTTTAATCACCTACCAAATTACTCGCGTGCAAATGGACGGGAATGTAGAGATTTACTTTACAACATATGTACATCTATATGTAGAAATTATGACTTGACTCAGTTTGTAAACTTATTATTACTATTCTATAGACAAAATTGAATATCATCGTAGTCCATTACGCCACATTGAAGCGACAAACGTCATCAATTAACCGGTCGCTATTGAAACGAATTTAATTTGAGACTATCCAGCAGCAATACGAGTCATTCCATAAATTAATGTCAGGACCGGGCACACAACACTTACGTTGGCTCCCAAAATTTGAGTAATAACTTGAATAACTAATATGAGTTCAGTACAAAAATTGAAAAATCTATAGTTTATCGTAAAAAATAATGACATCAATAATTTTACGTAATAAGTAAGCTCAGACTGCAAGACACCTTAAACAGAATTATTGCATTTACGCAATGAAAAAAATTTTCTAAAAGGTGAACACTTAGGTTTTAGATTTTACAACCCAACAGAATCCTCACTGATTTTGTGGATGCCAATGGTCAGCGGTTATCGTTTAACATCAGGTGAATCGCCAATAAAAAAAGCAATTTGGAACTATTTTTGAAAGGAAACGCTCTAATATACTATTGGAGTATTATAAAATGAAAATATTCTCCATTCGAAAATAATATCTGGGAGATCATGTGAACAAATCGTCCAATTACCTTCCGTTATCGTTGCGATCGAAGCAATTGACGTCATCGTGATTTCTCTGATTCAACGTCGAAGACTTCGCCAAATTACTCAATATCCTTAAGGCAATATATTTACCTAGATTAAATAATGCCTTTTCATCTGACATGGCAACCGTTATGAGTAATTTCGATATTGATTATCAAACTGTATGTAAAAAAACAAGTGAGAGTTGGACTCGCGCACGAAGGGTTTTGTACCGTTAATTATAAAAACGGCAAAAAAATCATATCTGTTGTATGGGAGCCCCACTTATAGACAATTTTTTCCTTTTTTTAGTATTTGCTGTTATAGTGGCAACAGAAATACATCACCTGTGAAACATTTATTTGTCTAACTATCACTGAAATTACTAAAAAGAATTACCTGTATATAAGAGTTTATTCTGAAGTTAACTATTGTAATACAAAAAAATGATTGATTGTGTAGTTTTAAAAATATTAGGAACAAACAACTATTAACTAACGGGCTTGGCTTTTCGTCAGCACTCCTACTTTCTAAACGTTCCCCATATTACTTACGTAGCACGAAGCCATTCACAACTGCGTGAGTCAAAGTGCCAAATGACCCTTAAAGACGCAATAACTTTTTTATATACCGTATCAAATTATACTAAAAGTTATATGCACACATTCTTTTATTTATTTAATTAAAACATCATAAACGAAGTTTACTGATATCATTTTTTGGACAAGTCACGTATTCATACAAATGTCCATAACCACATTCAATAAATTTTCATAAAATTTGTGAAAATATTATCTACTCAATAACAAAAAAATACTGTAATTGAATTATATTCCAAGGTTAAAGATAGGCTATTATTTCCTGAAGTTATAACACACGGTCATTTTCGTTAAAAAATTGCGGCTAGAATTCGTGCGGTTGTTTAAGAGGAAATATTCGTATCCAATGCCCTGATCAAAAATCGAACAATCAAAGTATTTACTCAATTGTGTGGTTGTCGGCGTTGAAATTATTCATCGTTAAATTAGATGCCATAAAGAAATCGCGATTTTCATTGTTTCATCTTCAGTATCTAAATTATCACGCGTAAATGAATATCTTATCCGATCCCACTTACGGAGCCCTCGATTAACGAAAGTCTTTGTTATGTGTATTTAATTTTGCTGAACTCCGCTCCCCGCTCCGTTATTTTAGAACACAGCTTTGAGCAAATCAGAAATTAAATTACCAACCACCTATATGGCTGAAAATAGTATTTCTATTTTGCTTAAAATATTTCTATACACTTTCCTACATTAATTTCCTTCAAAGATAATGAAATGACGCCATTTTTTAATATCTATCAAAACAAACACTTCAAGATTACCACGCCTTTTACAAATGAAACATTTAATAAGTAATGTGTTACTCATTCACACATTACTTATTAAATGAAATAAACAGTCATGTTTAAATATTGTTTAGAAACAATTTGCAAACATGACTTTCGAAAAGTGTTGCAAATCAAAAAGGACTCCGAAATCTGATACTCAATATGTAGGGACTTGTGTAGAGTACCTACTAGCAATTAAAAAATAATGCTTAATGTCTCTTAAACAGGATGGGCGAGAAATTTTTTCCACGTTATGGATTTTATTGGTGAGTAACCTCGTTAGTTGAACGAACTATAATTGACATAAGGACTGACCTGCCAATTAAACGTATGACCAATGCATGATGATTTTTATTTTGTCGCTGACTGAATTATGAATTTCGGGACTCAATGTCCAGAAACACGTATGGAACGAACATATAAAACCAATGCTAACATTGATCCACTATGCTTTCAACATATTGAAAACAATTGGAATGAAATTAAAAACTTTTATCTTTGCCGATAAATAAATTGTAATGTACTGTTAATAAATTAATTCTTACTACTGCAATTGTTTTTATTACCGCCAACTAAACCATAATAACACAATTAAGTATCTAATTAACGTCTTAATCTAGTTAATACTCAGTTAATTAAGAATGACTTACTGTCTTAATAATTTTGTTTTTAACCAAAGAGAAACTGATGTTTTTACAGATGTTTTAAAAACGCGCACCGTTTACTTCCATCCGTTTGACGTCATAATTATTTTTCACCATCAACTTACCTGAATAAATTAGACTAAAAAGTATCACAACCGTTCCCCACCGCATCTCGCCTACAATACACGACATTTTACACATTAGACGCCGTCATCAATACACAAGTGAGCGTTCTATGGCAGCGGAACTGTTCAAGACCACTACGGGGTTGTGAAGTCCAGCAAAAGTTTTCCGAACTCTGTGGGGGGATCGTGGCTGAATGCGGCTCGCGATGCTGACTACGAATGTGGAACTGAACGGTCCATTCAAAGTACTGTGGGGACCTTTGGCACGCATGCGCGCGACGCTGACCCCAGTATCAAAGCAAATTAAAGTTACACTTATTATTTTAATGGTGACAGATAAAGAATGCCTATACGGGTAGTCGATTGTTAAGTATGTGCTAACAAGAAAATTTTGGCTTTCCTTTTAAAACAGAGTATTTCTTATTAAGTAATTGGGTATAGAGTAATTTTCAAATTTCTGTTTTATGTAATTGAGTAAATACTGGAGTTAAAATAATGGAACATACGAGTACACTACTTTCTTTTGAATTGGCCGTAACTAAGGATATTTAGCCCTTACGTAATTGTAACATGATATGACTTAAAGAAGCCTTATTAGATCCTTACTTCCCTCGTACAGTTTATACCCTTTTTTAGTAAACTAGCTGTTTTGTACTTCGGAGCGATTAATCAATTACAACCTACATTATTTTGTTTTATAAGAGTTAAAAATTGTTGAATTGGTGCACAGGGTACAGTTTTATTTTTATTTTAGAAGGTGGCAAGTTCGCGTTTCACGTGATTTTAAATGATAACCACCGCCCATTGACATTTGCAACACCCGTGGGAGCAGATCCAATGCCACCTTATAATCAAGTAGTCCCGGCTACCGGACTACTCATCAGACGAAACGCAGAAGTTCTTCCACTTCACGCCGGACTTCTTTGAGGTCGTAGTACTTACTCGGACGGACCTGCAACTGCGAAGACTGTGGCGTAAAATATACTTTTGGTCAAGGTCGGACCGCATACCGTAAAGGGAAATTTTCTTCGTAACTAACAATAAAGAAATAGATTCAATTTCGTGCAATAAACCGACAATCAAAATGATATTGCAATGAAAGCAATAATGGACACCTTTTAAATGCACCTACAGTGTTGATAACTCAATTGACGCAGTAGCTAAATGACAGAATTGGGTTGGGTTATGAGTTCGATTCCCTCATGGTGTAAGTGTTACTATGACGGTCTGTGGTGTAAGGCCGGCCCGAGAGTGCCGCTCCGAGTGGGCTCATTGAGCCGGAGGAGGATGCGTGCTGGAGGGTGCAGGGGACAAGTCAAGGGTAGGAGCCAATCTCCCTGTGCTCTGCTACCAAGGAGGAATCGCGGGGTAAGAGGAATGTCGGTATTATGAGGCCGCGTTCCCTATTCTCCGCGACTCGGCGGGGCTGCACCGCTGATGTAGGGATGGATTGCGGTGCGCCCTACTCTCCGTAGGCGAAACGTGGTGAATGGCGGAGCCACAGACCAGGTACACCGCTGGGTGCTGGGAGGCTTGCTGCTTATTGGCACTGGCTCTCCTAGCTACTATACCCTCTGGGTAGCGAAATCGGGGGAGTTCGTTGGCGTGAGGGTCCGAGTAGGAAGATGCGCTCAATATTGCAGCGTGCCTTAGTTGTAGGAGAAGGGGATTGATCCCCGGGAGGGGGCTGCTGAGGTGGCCAACGCTGGCAGGGTCGCGGAAGTGTGCGAAAGCATACTGGTGACCCTGATGATATGAACCTAGGTGGAATATAGTAGGGGGCTTTAGTTGGTGCGAGTCTGACATAACCCTCTCTTGCCCCCCCGAGGGCGGATATGCGTAGGCATTTCATCTATGTCAACAAAAAAGTGTTATTATGACTAACACTTAGTTATGCTGAATTTGGGCGTTTGTAAACCTATCAACTTGAAAGAATTGTATCATTGAAGTAGACTAGTCTTTTCTTTAAACGATGAACAAGATTATAAAATATTTAATATTACTATGCATGTAAGTAAAACTTAAATAGGTTTTAAAGAAGAAAGATTCGTGCAATCAAAATTTTCTAAATAGACTCTATAAGGCTGTGAGTGGAATCGATTGTGGAAAGATTCGCCTAGTTGTGACTGGCAAGGAAATTACCGTGTCACTGATTCCAGCTCGTGTATTCCTCGCTATTTATTTAACTAAGTAAGCTTAAGCGGAAATTTAATGCAAACGCTTAGTTTCTCAAAAAGCTAACGGCTAAAGCTATCATTCTAATGTTAAATATAAAAGTATGTTTTATGTGTATGTGTACTTTAACATATATATTTTTTTTACCCCTGTAGGGTAACATCATCCTGTGTTGTAAGGACGTTTTACACAAATTTCACGTGGACAGATACTCAGGTCCAAAACTAATATCTAAAGGCCACAAAAATTGTTGTCCCTTGTGGAAAACGAACCCACGACCCCCCGCGCCGAAGCCAAAAACTTGGCAACTGGCTGGCTCCCTGATCGATACCATTTCAGGCATTATATTCAAATAACTAAAATAAATATTATGATCTGATCTGATCTGATCAAAGACAATATTCTAAGGAAGCCTCACGATAATCATAGTAAGCCTGATGATTTTTGATGTTTATTTGCATTTATGAATTTAAGAATCACTGTCCCCTTATGAGATCCACATATAGTGGTAAAAATGGTCTTGTTATTAAAACTGTGAAAAATGCACGTAACAAATTCTTCTGTTGCACGAGTGGATGAGCCTGACAAGTAACGGGGGCCGACCTTTCGAAAGGTAGCTCCCAACTGCAGCACCTCAGGTGTAAAAGAAAATAACTTAAAATCAGGACAACCAGCTCGCTTATCAAACGGCATCTTAGGTATTTCCCCTTCACTAATACCTATACCGTGAGGCTTTTCTAAGTGTATCCATTTTTCTTCATTAAATTCTAGAAATAAATAATGTTATATAAAAAATGATAAATATTTTAAATCACTCGTAAGTAATTCATTACATTATTTGAAATTATCTCAAAAAGTTTGTGTTTGTTGTCAGTGTTAATACGCAACTCATTTATTTTACGCGCGATCATTCATAACTAATACGCACACAAGTTCGTTTGTGTGCGTGAACAGTCAGGTATTTATGAATGACCACCGCGTTGTCAATAAGTTCTCTTTTTTAGGGAATAGAATAGTAATTTTTTTAAAAAAAAGTTTCTTTTTATGTCAATAAACGATTATAGTACCGAGTCTGAACCTCCTGTGTAAATTTGGGCACCTTTAAAAATCCCCCTGTATTCGCATTACTGTGACTAACGTGTGTATCTTTTGCGATAAGAGTTTATAGATAAGTTTTTTTTTGTGAAAAGTTGCCAAGCGAGCAGACGGTTCACCTGATGTTAAGTGAATACCACCGCCCATGGTCATCTGTCACACCCGAGGGTTCCAAATGCGTTGACTACCTTTTGAAAATTGGGCTCCGGCTACCTCACTAACCAGACGAAACGCTAAAGTATTATACTTCCACTTTACGCCGGTCTTCTGTGAGGTTGTGGTACTTACCCGGACGAGCCTGCCCATTTGTATAACAACCAAGGCTGCTGCGTGGCCCTACCACCGTGAAGATTGAGTTTAATTGCATTGGATCATCAATATGTAATTGGAATAATGTAGACCAGAAGAATAATGATAGTTTATCTATTTCCGACTTTACTATAGGTAGATTATTATAATGTGACACTGAGAATCATTGTCCAAATGATAAACGAAAATTAAGGTTTCATGGATCACAGGATCCTCATAAGGTACTAAAACATAACTGTCAAGTAACTAAATAATGTATCATAAATTTTTAAAGTCCGTCATTAACCTTAAACGCTTATTTACAGATTTTTATTTATATTCCGATTCACGCAGCAAACGCTTACAATTGTGGTTAGTTTCATTATTTTTGGGTTGATTTGAATTTAGCCAATCTGGCTTACAATATTACTGCCACTGGTATTCTTTGCGCTCGGCCACTTAAGTCCGGCAGATCTGTAAAGGCCCCTAAGTCGTATATTCTGCCAAAACAAATGGTATACTTTAATAACCCATACAATTTTGGTGATTTGGGCATGAAGGAATGTACAGTTCGATGAGTTTCGTTATCAACTATAGCATTTTGCTAGTAGGAACAGTTTTAACCTTTACAGCAGCAGCAGTTTTTTTTTGTATTCCGTCGTATTCTTATTAACCTTTATCTGCTTGGAATTTTATGTAGAATTTTATGCTTAATTAATTTCATGCGATGAATTCATGTTTTTTAGAAGTTTTAGTTCTTCGCTCAGAATCGAATATAAAGAACTGAAACAATAAAAATATCTGTAAAATACGTTATACTTGAATGTGAAATATACATAAATACATATAAATAAATAAGAAACTATAATATGTCCTATTTATTTCAACCAATTTTTTGCTATATTTATTACATAACATAAATTACTATAATTGTTCAATATTAAGTAGGCGCTTAAATAATAGTACCCGGAGGGCCGAGCTTTGCTCGGTTTTTTTTTTTTTTTTTGGTAAATCGTGTTTTGGAAATTACATTTAGAGACAAATTACTGAGTAATATTTTTCGATCTTACCGACGTAATAATATGAAAATATGAACTGATGTTTTTCACAAAAGAAAGAACTTTAAAAAAAAGGGAAAAAAAAAACAAAATAACAAATCGACAAAAAATTAAAAATAAAGAAAGCAATGATCTGGAATCGAAAAAAAAGTTAAAAAAATAAATGTGTAAATGATCGTGACGCGAACCACGGCCGTCTCTTTTGGGGCCGCCAGATTACCGACCGAGCTATTTTGACATTTTCTCTTGCGGCGAAATTTACCGTCATATTCGAATTATATTTTTCATTCCCTGAAAACAGGGATAATTCCTATTATTTTTTAAAATTTAATTTTCTAAAAATGTAACCTAGCTAGATCGATTTTTCACCCCCGAATCTACGTACATACTAAATTTCATGTACATCGCTGGAGCCGTTCCCGAGATTCCAATTATATATATATATACAAGAATTGCTCGTTTAAAGGATAAGATATGCATTTGATGGTAGGTTCAAATTATTTGTGTCACAAAAGAAATAAACGTTGATCAAGTGTGGACGCTCTGTTATTTTAACTGTTCCTTATTAATTGGGGAATTTAACCCACCCTCAAAGGCATATAATTATTTAAGCGCCTACTTAATATTGAACAATTATAGTAATTGGCCACAAGATTGCTATTTGACTTAAAAGTTTTGTTACATTGCTAACATACTTTACAATTTCTTAATATGATCTACTTCTAAATATAACATATTTCCTACTAATTCAATATAGAAATGTCGCCAGGATTATATATCTACGCATGCATTGAAGACACAGTATAGTTTTGTGGTCCCAAATCCTTTGCCAAGTGATTCTAGGCCAGTAAGTGAGTAGCCCTCGTTAGATACAACACTTGGACGAGCTATGGGAATGTCCTGCCAAATTTCTTAACGCAAGTATGCGTCACCGATTAAACGCCCGACCTATTTATGTTACGATGCTAAACCCATATTACATAATTGTGGCTTAGGGTTTATACGTTAACAAACAAGCATATTAAAACCGTTATGTATTCCGGTTTCTGTGTGTGAAGAGGCCCTGAATAAAACGATTATTGTTATAATCGTATTATTATTACGAACTACTGTAGGTATTCATTACTTGAAATAACAATGGCAGACTATTATACATGATTTTATTGAGTTATACGTGTCGTTTATGGAATTAAAAAATATATAAAAGTTTTGTGAGCGTGAGTTTTTTTTACTGAGCAATTGTAAATTAAGAAATTTATTTGGGAAATCTTTGTATCCATGACATTAAGATTACATTTTGAATATTTTGAGGTTTATATCAAGATTTATATTATATCAAGATACTAAATAAAACTATTTTTATTTATTTTTAATTTTAGTTTCAGACGTTTCAAACAATTTGCATATTTCATGGTCACGGGACAGATTGAGGTGTTACACGTCTGAGTGTCGTTGTTAACCATTTATTTTTTAATTATTAATTTTATGTCCGTTATACGCAGCAGGTGGTAATTGTCTATTTTTGAAGTAGTGGCTCTTTTGATCGTAGATTTAATTTTATGAGTTCTTGGCATCCTACCTAATGGTAGCAACCAACCCTCTTCTCTATTGAAATTAAACTGATATTTTTTTATTTCAGTAGCCTCAACTTATTTGATCTCTTATGTTTCTTTACCCGTATTTACCTTTAAGCAGATTTTTATAGCTCTTATAGTTTGTTCTGTTTAAAAAGCGCACACTCACATTCAAATGTTTACTCCTTGATCTTGAAATTGAATATTGCACTTGACATAATAAAAATCTGACTTATTTGACTCTTTCTCGTTTCATTCGTCTTTGATTCCTCTGGCATATGGTAGAAAAGCAGGTACACGCTACACTGTTACTGGTCACAGTCGGCCATTGTGACGTAGACGCATTGATCGAATCTTGTTGTCATCCAGAACAAGCTTGACATGTTGTAGCTCTGCGGCCAGGTGTTCCTTATTACAGGCCCGCCATAACTAACTGGAACGGATGGTGCTAGAAGCCACCATTTACGTATCAGTGTGTATGAGTTGCCTTCATATATACAGTCAAAAGTTTCTAATCGGAAAAACAGCGGAGCTTAGCCTATTCGCAAGAGATTATAGATGGAAACTCCACTGGAGCTTTGAATCTAATGTAATTTCCAAGAATAAAACCGACTCAACGGGATTAAGGGTTAAGATATTTAATATTAAACTAAAATTTTGTCTTCTTACATTGGAATGGGTTAAAGGGTAACATTTAGTTTTCTTTTGACTTTTAATACCTTTTTTTATGTTATGGTTAATGTAATGGTATAAAATTAAAGAAATGAATTGCTGTTCGTTAGACTGGCTAAAACTCGAGAACGGCTGGACTGATTTGGCTAAGTTTGGTTTTGAAATATTTGTGACAGTCCAGTTTAAACGATGAGAAATTATGGAAAAGTTGCATGGAAAATCTAAATTGCAACAATTTTATCTTCCCATACAAATTGTCAATACCTGTCAAACATTTTACTTATGCGTGCGTTCCGAAAATGCTTTTTCTATGTATTCAGATATATAAAAATTAATTGCTGTTCATTAGTCTCGCTAAAACTCGAGAACGGCTGGACCGATTTGTCTAATTTTGGTTTTGAAATATTTGTGGCAGTCCAGCCAGGGAACGTTTAAACGATGATAAATTATGGAATTGCATGGAAAATCGAAACACCAACAATTTTACCCTCCCATACAAACTGTCACTACCTGTCAAACATTTTATGCGTGCGTTCCGAAAATTCTTTTTCTATGTTTTCAGATTCACAAATTCCCTAGAAATAGTTTATATGGCATAACAACGTTTGCTGGGTCAGCTAGTCTCTTATAAAATCTCGGATAATTGGGAGTTATGTAGAAGAGCTTCTCGAAGAGCCCCTCAAAGTCTTCGGAGTTATTGATCAGCCTATTGCTACACGGTTTATCTGTATTTAGAACTCTAACTTCCAAAGTAAGTAGCCAGGTGTAGGACAATCATAGTTTAATCACTACATAGTATAAAACAAAGTCGTCCCGCTGTCTGTCTGTCCCTGTATTTGCTTAGATTTTTAAAACTACGCAACGGATCTTGGTGCGGTTTTTTTTTACTAGATAGAGTGATGCAAGAGGAAGGTTTATATGTATAATACATAGCACCTGTGCTAAGCCGGAGCGGGTCGCTAGTGTTCTTATAAGTTAAATAATCGTTACACAATTTAACATTAAACTTAAGTATATATTTTTATTTATACAAAATCAAAAATCGCGATACATTAATAATCTGAAACACTAAGATCTATGTCATGTAACAATTTTTTCCTAGCGTTTCCATTTTATTTATAGATAGATTACAGTCACGAAAATGTTATTGTAGTTGAACATTTATAATACGGTCATTGAGCAAGATATCTAAGGCTATTTGCGAATAAACCGTGTCACCAATTAATAACACCTGTCACTACACCAACACTGATTAATACATTTTAAGGAATTATTATTTCAGGAAACTGACCTTAATCTTATCACGAATCAATTAAAACCATTAAAAAGTTATCGGTACTTTGTTATTACCACCTTGATTAGTAAAAACCTTATCTCATATATCTACAACTTGATTATCTTATTAAATGTTTCATATATAAAAGTCAGAAGAAATTCTAAACCACATAGTTTGACTAAGATCGTATCAATATAGTGATGTCAATATGCTCAAGGAATTCATTGTATTCGTTGGTGTAGTGACAGGTAAAGTAGAATCGTACAAAATTAAGCCACGTTTAAGAATTAGCTTTAAAGAATATACTGAAAAGTCTTCTATAAATTCCAAACACGTACGCTTTTCACGTCTTTACTGTATTTTCACAGCATATTTATATGTAACGAGTTTGTAATCAATTTTCGATAGTAAAAAGGCTATTTTCTTAATAATAATTTGCCATCAGAATTTATAATTTCAAACCATTAGTACAAAAATATACATATAATGCAATAATACATAGAAGCAATGGCATTAAAAATTACATTATTTGAACTGTTTTCAGTTTGCCACGCAGCTGTTATGACCAATTCGCAGCGGAGCGGTGATCCCAATCGGTATTTTGTTTATACCAGGTATAAAATTTAATTAGCCTTTTGTTTAAATATGTTTTTTTTAAGTGAAACTCATTCCATCGACGCGGTCGAGGAAAGGGACATAAGTACGTCGGACCCACCATCGGGGGACACTATACACACAGTTAATGCAACAACAAACACCATAGTTCGTCAACGCCTTCGAGCACGGTGAACCCAATACAACATGTACACTAGGTACCCGCGGTCCAAGGCGGTTCTCACCGCCCCTAGCCACCGACTAAGCACAGTCTCCTCAGTTGACGCTCGCATGAGTACATGCACGGCCCTTCAGTTACAGCAAAACAAAACAAAAGCCATGGACAATTTGATAGCTCCGTGGCGCAGTTGTCAAGGTATTGGCTTCGGCGTCGGGGCTCGTGGGTTCGATCCCCACACGGGACAACTGTTTGTGTGACCCACAATATAGTTGTTTCGTATCTGGGTGTTTTTCCGCGTGAAATTTATGTTTGTAAAACGTCCTTACAACCGAAAAAAATAATAATAATATGGAGGCGCCTAAAAGAAAGGTTCACATGCACCCTCTGGCGACCAATTTGATATCGTTATTCGGTTTTTTTTTGCAAAAAAAATTACTTTTCTCGGTAGCTTAACACGTGAAATTTGATAGTTTTGTCTAAATCCGTTCACCCCATCAGCATTAAAAGCATGGGATACATTTTTAATTTTTAACAATTTTTTTAGAACTTGAGTTATTAGGGAATAATGCACCCGTTCCTAAGAAAATCGGTCGAGACACACGGACAAACAGACGGACAAAAGATAGATCATATAAGGGTTCCTTTTTTAACTTTTAAGGTACGAAACCCTAGTTAGATATGAATTAAAGATATGAGTCGCAACTACACTAATGTCGATAAATAAGTTATCGTCGATACCTAGTGTCGAATAGTCGATACATATATTTTGTGTACATAGCGTCGATACATCTAATATATAAAATTCTCGTGTCACGGTGTTTGTAATTAAACTCCTCCGAAACGGTTCGACCGATTTTCGGGAAATTTTTGTGTGCATATCGGCCAGGTTGGAGTATCGAACAACATCTATTTTTCATAGCCCTAACTGTTAAGGGTGGTCCACCCCAAACATTTTTTTCTAACCTACAAATAATTTGTATGGCAAAACAACGTTTGCCGCGAAATTTTAATATACTTGAGCAGCTTGAAATCAGGCTGCTCAAGTATATTACAATTGAACTAAGAGCGAGCGCGGGGATGATGAGCTTATCACGGCTCCTACTAGACGCCTACTATTACTTTGTACTTATTCAATTTTACAATTTCACTTTTTAGAGACAATTTCCTAAACCCAAGGGAAGTTTTGACTAACAACCAGCAGTCGTTCGATAATTCCGGAATCGAATTGTCACGCGACACAGTTGTCGTTGTCCATGGACACCAAGCCAGCGCTTTCAGTTCTCTTAACCCAGCTTTGAAGAATAGTAAGTAAATAAAACAAGTGTTACTTTGTCCTACTGATGATACTTTGACTTACTCACTGATGGGGGTGACTTTTAAAATTACATTGTATGTGTCTTGTTAAATTAAAAACAAAATTACATCTTTTTAACTCGCTGATTGCTAACTGTATTTGAACTAGCCTTCGTTGTGAACTTTCGAAGATATTTTGAGAATAGCAATACTCTAGTTTTAACTAATTCCTCCCTGCTCCGTTCCTGTTAACTGGAAATAGCTAATGATTCGATACAATACAGCTTGCATTAAATTTATGGAAATAAACTTGATAAATAAGTTAAAATATTTTTAATAATAAAATAATTATACAAATATTAAATATATCAATAAAAATAGTAAAATAGTTGATGGTAACCGATTAACCCTGACATTAAGACGTAAAACAACTGAGTCTGTCCCGTAACCATGAACACTGGAAAAGGTTCGAAAAGTCGGGAATTTAAAAATCAAATTACTACTTTTTACTACTTTTTAAGATAAGACATAACTATTTGATAAGGTTTGTCGGAATTGCTCATGGTAATATAGTCGACAATTCCCATATTTGCATATCTAACCTCGATATCTTGCATTAAATCTATCAGTATCTAATTATAATATCAAGCGCAATATTCATTTGCAGCTTTTCTTCAAAACTATGACGTCAACGTGATCGTAGTTGACTGGGCAACAAACGCTCGATTGAGTTATTCCTTGGCCGTCTCCGCCGTACCCAGCGTCGGAGCTTACATAGGAGACCTCATTTCAACACTGGTGGATGCTAATAAAGTGAGCCTAGATAGACTGCATTTAATTGGATTTGGTTTGGGAGCACACGTTGTTGGCTTCGCGGGAAGGAAATTGCAAGGAACGATTGCGAGAATAACTGGTAAACACATTACGATTGATTACACATTACATTAAGTTTTCCCGTTTTTATTTTTTTATTCACTGAAATATTCACAATACATGTTTTGTAATATTAATTTTGAATTATATAAATTTTCAAATGCAAATTTATACATTGAGATTTCATTAAAGATTTCTATTGAAAACAATATGAAACGCGAATCAACTATTTATAACATTCTTACATTACCAGATTCGTATACCAGTTAATAACGCTACCATTCACTTAATAAGTAATGGAATATCTTTTTAAAGGTTTGGATCCTTCTGGACAACAATGGGGAAGTAACTCGGGCCGACTAGCAAATTCGGACGCCCGCTACGTCGAAGTAATCCACACTGATAGTGACGGTCTACTTTCGAACGGCCTCGGCATTGCGATAGGAGACGTCGACTTTTTCCCCAACGGTGGAAGCAACCAGCCCGGCTGCCTTCTCTCCAGCACTTGCAGTCACAATCGCGCCTGGGAACTGTTCGCGGCGACGTTACGCGTGGACAACGAACTGGTGGGCAACGGTTGCGCTTCTGCCAGGCAGTTGAAATGGGACCGTTGTAATGGCGATCCATTGAAAATGGGCACAAACGAATACTCCAAACGGGGGTAAGATATCCGATCCATTACGGTACTAAATCGAGAGCCTCTGAGCGGAAAATATTTAACTAAACCGCTCAAAGAAAGTTGTTATATCCGTAATAATTATTTTGCTTTCAGAAGCGGTATCTACAGAGTCAATACGGGCAGGAGCCATCCATTTTAATTAATACCTCGTCAAAGCAAGACTCAGAGGTGTATAGACTCTCAAAGTTTATCTTTATCTTCCCGTTTCTCGATTGAAATATTAAATACCTATGTTTTATGAACATCCAAATTTTATTTGAAAATTAACAGAAATACAAGTTTAATGCAGATGAAATGGTGTTATTCAGAAGTAGGTGTCTTTATTAAAATTTCTAGAAAAACGAAGAAAAAGTGTTTCGCCGCTGAACACTAAGCTAAACAGCTGATTACCAAACCAAAGAAAATCTCAGTCTTAGTTTTTTTTACATTGTTTTTTTGCAGTAAGCAATTCTTGGCGCATCTTATACCCTTTTTTATCTTTTCACATCTTATATCCTTTGGCACGTTATATCCTTCATAGAATACAAACAATTTCAAATATCGTGTTACAACCATAACTCGAACTAAAGACGTCGCCATTGCTATATGAAATTGTAATGTTTCATCTTATGTGCAGAGATTAGCATTATATAAAATACAATTTAAATTTCTTTATTTCTTATTTATTAAAATGTCATATGTTTAAACATATCAATATAATGATTGGAATGACCGCCCTCTACATCGAACTTCTCGCCACAATAATATATAACCCAATATCTATTAGCAGGTACACAGGTACCAATTTGTACAAAACTATCCACCAATAACGTTTACATTGAACTGTTTGGAATCTCACACGCCCATTGTATTCTCGTTTCGACAAGAGAAACATTTTAACAGCAAGTCATTCTGATATCGGATAACGCACATATAATGACACCCACTTTGTTGTGTTTCATGCTCGCGTTCAGATGAAATCAATCCATAATTGTTTCAAATTGGATAGCGAGTCCAAATTCTGTTTTCATTATTTTTTTATAAATAAGGAGGTGGCAAGTGATTTGGGGGTTTACCTGTTGTTAAGTGCCGCTGCTCAACCACACAGCAACATATGTAGGATTACAGAAGCGTTTTTATCTTTAATAAAGTGGGTCCTAGTTACCTCAACCATTCCATTTCATTTCTCGCTTTTCTTGTGTGAAGCCGGAGCACTTCCTCAGCTATTCGTGCAACATCGAAAACAGCTGCGTGGACCAACTGCTTTTACTCCATTTGAAGACAAACCAAATACTACTTTTCCTCAAGTATCGACATAATCTAATGGTATCACACAAACCTGTTGACAGAAAAGTAAAGTAACTTGAAGTTGGTCAAAACAAAGTAATCATTTTGCTTAAAACGAAGTGAAAACGTTTAAAGTCATGTTGTGTTTATACACGAAAATACCATTATAGCCATTGATCCCTTTCACTAATACTTGTGGATAAGCACCATGAAGTCTCGACCTAAAAAGTAATATTTTTGTAGATATTTTTCACGTGCTATTATACTGTTACTGTTATCTAAAAGTCTATAAAATTCAATAATTTCGATACTGTTGTGTAAAATGCAGCAATCATATTAAGTCATCTTCTTCTTTAATTTAAGAGCTAGGTCTTGTCTGTGCTACATTCCAGTAGTTCAGCTGTGTAACACCCTCCATCCTTCCCTGTTCATAGCCCTATCCTTTACCGCCCTATAGGAACCATTTATTTCCTTCATTAATTTATTAATTATAATTATTAATAAACTATTAATACTAATAAATTATTATAATTATATTATATTAATTCATTAAGTAACACTGAAAATAATATTGAAAATGGAATAAAAGAAAACAGCAGCTTATTTCATTATCATCATCATCGTCAACCCGTATCGGCCCACAGCTGGGCACAGGCCTTCTCTCCCTTGCGCCATTCATCCCTATTGTGAACGAATCGCATCCAAGAACATTTACCTGGCTGATATGGCCTATATATCATGAATATTTTTGCTTCACACAAATTGTTGTTGCTTCGTTGTACAAAAAAAACGGTTTCAAATAAATTTAACCTAAGAGACGCTACTTAGAGAACACAGCCCTCAACTATAAAAACGACCTTTATGAGCACAATCTCTTTTGTTTTATTCATGCACAAGTAACATGGCCTCGGCTTTATTCAACAAAAGAGTTCGTAGTAGCTATATCGTTGTTACATATTTATTTATGTATCACAATTTCGCTATATAGTTTTATCCCTTATAATTATTACTCATATGAAAGCTTAACGAGACTTGACTAGACTGTTCCAAATTTTATCTATTAAATTACCTTTCTTTCATATTTGAAAGATGCAACAGGTAAGGTGTACACAAATAAAAAAAATCGAATTCTTCATTAATATAGAAACTTGAAACTTTGATTCTCAGTAAAACAAAGGTAAAACATAAGACAAGAGCGGATACATGTGATCAATATAAACATAAAGGTATTTACTGTGTTGACAATTGCGTTAAGAATTATTGCGATCTTTTTAGCAAAAGTGTAAACGCTCATTTACCCTAATTTAGAGATTTTTTTGGTGATTGTTATATTTTATGGTACCTAAATAATTAATATAATCCAATTGCACCTCTTATTCATAGAGACTGTTGGTGTTAGCAATTTCAATAAACACAAATACACGAGAAGACACGAGTAAATATCTATACTTCGAGGAATTTCCTTTGACAAAGCGAACTTGGAGTTGAGTAAATATGTACATAACATAATGTTTATTTGGGCTTATGTATATTAGTGGGGTAAAATATTTGTTCTGACAAATTAGAGTCGTTTTAAACACTAAAAATGAAAATAGCAACCAAATGGCCGGTAATGGTAAGGGTTCGAAACGTCTTGGGACTTTGTTTATATCACCTATCAGCTTTAATGGTATATATAATAAACAGATAGACATATAATATATAGCTTAATGTCTATTTATACTTTGCCTTTTAAGCTTGATCGGATTCAAGGTCCGTAAAAATGCTGCCTTCCGCCGGACGTTTCAATTAACTGGTATTGTGGGGTGTCCAATAAGTGACTGGATGATAAAAATTGCGTTGAAACGCATGATTTATATTGTAGTATATATTACGACGTATAATTATTGAAGGTCAATAATTACCTACAGTTATTATACGATTTCCTTGATGTAAAGTTTTAAGGATGAACTTGAACATGGTGAGTGAGAGTAGAGTACTAGTACTAGAACATACCCAATGATTGGATAACAATGACTATTCACTACAAATCAGATAATAATAGTATTAAATAGTATAAAGGTTGAAAACTTACATTTAAACCGTCCCGACTTATAACTATCACTTCCTTTGAAATAATATTTTTAAACTAACCGTTAGCGAGGCAGAGTGGCGTCCGTACACATCACGTATCTGGTAAGTTTAAATTCAACTCATGAGGAAATCCAGCTACTATGTAGAACGAATGTGAACGAAGGGGTGGTTCTTAAGCTCTATGTATTTTATAAAGTCCCTACATACAAAAGTAACATAAACATACAAGCTTGTGTAGCGTAGTCAGTTACGAATCTAAGTGACGCCAATTTGCGCCCCAACCTCTGCTTGCCGCTTGGTCCTCTAAATGGTGTCAATGCGTCCTCAGCAGTTACTGTCATGACGTCCGCCCTCACTTACTAATACGTTATTCAGTATTACGCGATTTTCTTATAATTGAGATCATTGAAATTATTTTGCGTGGTGAGTAACCACCGTACAGTGATTCATAACTTAAATGATACACAATGTAATCGACACCGTTTGATATTTATAACAAAATGTACAGTACTTTATTGGTATTTATTTAAACAGATTAAAACTTTATATATTTTTGGTATAATGTCATCGTGAGCGCTGTCATTACCTTAATTTGACCCTCGTATCAGGATTTAAATTAAACCACATCCAATTATAGAGTTTCACGTGCATACACCGCCGAGGTTCAGGCTAGGCGCCCCGTGCGCTTGGCCACCTCAAGTCCGTCGGAACTGTAAAGGCCCCTAAGGCCAAGAGTGGGTCATCCAGCCAAAAAAAACAAAAAAAAACGTGCATAAAGACACAACGTGCACGTTTTCACTTTTGTGACTTCTTTCAAGTAAAAGTCTACGCTGTTGCACGGACGGGCAGGTCTAACGACTATCTAAGTACAATGGTGTCACAGAAGAACGGCGTAAAGTCGAAGTTTTATACGTTTGCGTGTTTTTTTCTGGTAAGAGGTACCGGGGCCCACATTATTAAAAGGTGCCTTTCCTTTATCTGCTACTCTATAGATATTGCAAAAGTTAATGGGCGGTGGTTATTTATTTATTTATGAAGGCTTAACAACTAACTACATACAGAACATTGGCATATATGTTTAACTTAATAATAAAGTTGTAACAAAATATGTACATATTTAAATTACAGGTAAACACAACACTATAAAACAAACTTGAATTAGAGAAACTATTATTATTAACTTATTTAACTGCTAAAAACTCTTATTATAACAATTATTATCAGGCGAACCGCCGGTCGCTTGCTATCACAGTTAAGGATTTAAAAATCATTTTTACCGTGTTACTCTCAGTTTTTAATAGCAAGATGAACATTTTAGCGTTTTCATTACCGTGCTGGCACGTTTAAACGTCCGATAGAGCATAAAAGAATGACTTGAAGGGTGATACTCCTAATACCGATTTGAAGTTACGAGATTTTCTAAGTGTACCTTGTATTAACTGATGTTTGTGCTTTCAGTCCCGAGACTATTAAGGCTTCATCTAACGCAGAACCGGTGGGCTAGCCAGAACCCACGGGTTTGGGCCCTCCGCCCTACCCACACGTTTTTTTTAAGCCTCTCCAGCTCGGTTGACGGTATAATCCCTCCGATCGGGTTCCCGTCTTGTCACGGAAAAGGGGTTTAGCAGGAAGTAGGACCCTATTGTAAGGATGTTGCACATACATAAATTTCACGTGGATCAGCACCCAGATCCGAAACAATTATCTGTTGGTCAACCAAATAGTTATCCCGCATGGGAATCGAATTTAGGAGCCCCGGCGCTGAATCCAATAACTTAGCAACTGCACTATCACCAACAGAGTCATCATGCTATTGGCCGCTCTCCCTATCCTCCGCGACTCGTCGGGGTTGCATGATGCAGGGCCGCGCGGGAAGAGGAATATCCGTTGACAGGGCATTAAGACCAGTTTCACGACGTGGCTAACCAAATATTTAGCTTTTCAATGCATGCCAAAAATAATTGTTCCCGATTTAGGTGCTTTTCCATAGGAGACTGGGTTTGAAAAACGTCGGAACAACACGTTATAATATCCTATATAAGCCTTAGATATTCTTTAAAATATCACAAATGTTTATAAATAATCAACACAAGTTAAGTCTAGTCAAGTATGTTTAAGTTAAGTAAGTTTAGTCAAAAGACCCTTTGATACATTAACTATTATTTTTCCAACATGGCCATTATGTTATGTATCAACTAATATACCACTGATAATATGCTATGCGGTAAATAAAATATCAACATTTTATAGAATTAAAACTTTTGCCATTTTCTATGTAAGAAGATAGGAACCGAGTTGGCGGTTCACCCGATATTAAATGATAACCACCACCCATGAACATTTGCAACACCCGTAGTGTTGCAAATGCGTTGTCACCTTTTAATTAAGTGCCCTGGTTATCTTACTCACTTAGAGAAACGCAAAGTATCATTCACTTCACGCCTGTCTTCTGTGAGGTCGTGGTACGTCCGCGGATGGACCTGCCCATTCGTGCAACAGCGCAGACTGTTGCGTTACTTCACTTATTCGTAACTTTTATATCGTTTTATCCTTTTTTTAATTCTAATTTTATATCAATATCTAATAATACAGCTTATTAAACGTTTCAATAAATGTATAAATAGAATTTATATTACACATTATTACATTTTAAAATTAGTAGTATTAATAAAATAATACGGTTATATAGGATGCTCAGGAAGATCTTCACATAGTTACAATTTAAATGTTATTGCTATGCATTAATCACAATCGAAAGTGTAATGTATAATATAATTTTCATCTTATAATTGGGTAATTTATAGAATTAATAATTGTTGTATGAAAAGGTTATGTTATCAATTCCAAACAATCTATCAGCTTGACATTGATGCAGTAAAAGTTAATAAAACTAATGAAAACACCTCCTTGAATTAAAGAGGTTGCTATTCCAATACGTAATTTGGACATTCGGACCATAACGGAATATGTAAGAGAGCAGATCATGTGCATATCTCGTATTTCATTAATACTTTTGATCTCGTTGGTCGTTCACGCCGCGTCGCGTCGTAGCTATGTAAACAAAAACATAACCTAAAAATTCGAATTTTTAAGTTACAAGACAAACGGGAAGACTGTTTCATACAGTACTAATTATTAAACTAGCTGTGAAATTAGTGTTTATATAGTCGACTCTTAATAAACCGGATTATTTCTACACAGCTCCATGCATATATCTCTCGGTTACAAAAGTTTAAGCTGAGTTCCTTTAACGCATTTATTAAAATCAAACGTAAGCCGCGCCTGTGCAGAGTCGTCCAACAATGTTGAATTTGCAAAATGTTTTCTTAAGAAATACTGACTTATTTCTTAAAGCAAGATTGTTTATCTATTGTTTGACGTATGCTCATCTCACTATAATGTCATTGGTTTTGTTAAATAAAGATTTTTCGTCATCTGATGATCCGGATATCCTTGTTTATTTAAATTTAAAGTGGAAATTAATTACTACGTGGTTTAATGTGAGTATTTTTATATAATATACGTTGCTAACTGTGTGTAAGTATCAAACATTTTTTTATATTAAAGTAATAAATAAATCTCGACTTTACCCGTTGTGTATTACCTATATATTTTAAGTTAAAAAACTAAACATAAAACGGTATTTTGTATAGGATTGGAGTTCTTGACCTGGGATCGCAAGTTAAAACCCCGTCACAATGCATTGCATTCGTTAGCCCCATTTCTATTAAAAATAAAAATCAAAAGTTTATAGTCTCGTGTGAGATTTATGATAAATTTAATTAAACTTATAAATATGCTTTTGCTTGAATGGTTGAAAGATTATTTTATTTTTATTTCTACATTAAGCATTATTGAATCAATGATACATTTAAAATAAAAATTACTCTCAAAACTATTTATATCGAAATAAATAATTCAATTAAACAAAGGCTACCACTTAACACGACGAAGTATAACGGTTTTCTGTACTTTTAGACTTCAAATAAAAATAGACGAGGATTCCAACAGATGATTGATATTGTTTTACGGATTTATTTAGAAAACTTCACACTTTAGAATTGACGTTCAAAAGCGAAATGTTTGGTGGTATAACTAAGTTATACTAACACCTACATTCAAGTGCAAACATTTTCATCTTATATTATAGTCATACTTATAAAACATTATTTTATAACATTTTAATATAAAGGATATCCTCATTAAATTATTCACTTGATTTTTTTTTTGTTGTTTTTGTTTGCTAAACAAATAGAAGTGACCTTCTTTTATTATGGGCATTTAATTTGATTAGTTAATGCTATTTCAAAATCCCTAAACACCTAAACGCTAAGTTAAATGATTGTTTAAAACGTAAAATGTATTTTTTTTTCAGATGCTGACAGTGCTCTATATTCCAATTTGTATTTATTGCGACTGGCAAGAATTAAGAAGAAAGGCCGAACTTCGAAATGTTAAAAATCTAAAACAGATTCGGGACTTCTATTTCACCAATTTAATCCTTCCGGCAACACTGGTAATTTATATATTTAATAGGCTGTCAATAATTCACTTTTACTTTTCATTATCATATTACAACATGATATAATTATTTTTTTAAGGTTTGAAAATCTATCAGATCTACGTGTTGATCATTATCTACCTTAATTATAAATATCGTATCATTACGCCATTTAGCATCGTACGTTGTGATTATTTCATCAACTAATTTCTTAACCGTTTCTTAGTATATGTTGTTGCATGGTTTCTAGTAAATTGCGAATTGACAATTTTATTAAATTACGTTAATTATTCGTATGCATCAAACTTTCTTAGTCGTTAAACAAATTGTAATTTTGTTTTCCTTAATATCTTAACCTCATCTCTACAGTATACACAATTATTGTTTTAATAATAAGATGTTTTTTTCAGTATGCAGATATCTTATTCTGGAACTTATGGAATAAAAACAAGCTAATATTAATGCCAGTGAATGCAGATCTATACGTTTCCGTTTGGGAGCAACACAGTATGCACACAGCCTCCCTGATCTTCGTGTCTTTAGATTTAATATTAGTACCAAGACAAAGGCCAAAGACTTATAAATGGGGCTTTATCGTTCTCTCGATGTACTTAATCAGCTACATTTGGGTGTAAGTACAATAGTTTTTTTTATGTAATAAAGTGGCAAACGAGCTGGCGGTTCACCTGATGTTAAGTGATAACAGCCACTCATTTACATTTGCAACACCCGAACGGTTGGAAATGTGTTGCCACCTTTAAATAAAGTGGGCTCCGGCTGCCTCACTCACTAGACGAAACGCAAACGTAGTAAGTTTACGCCGGTCTTCTGTGAGGTCGTGGTACTTACCCGCTAAAAATATACACTTCTCGCAAAATACATTTAAATATTTTTCGTTGTTAAATTTATTTTTATTATTTACGTTGTTAAATAAGTTAGGCCGATGAAGATTACGGATTAATACTATTAAAAATAAATGACTTCGTCAATATCTGTAATGTTAAATTTTTCCCCATATATAACGAACAAATGCCGACCAGAAACATTCACTAATTTTAGGAATTGTAAAATAGATCATGCTTATTTCATATAATAGATCATGCTTTGGAGTTTTACTGATTTGATGCGACTTATAATTTTTGCCATTTTTTATTATTTAAAGAATATATTGTGGTAGGGCCACGCAACAGTCTTCGCTATTGTACGAATAGGCAGTCCACCCGGTAAGTGTCAAGACCTCACAGAAGAACGGCGTGAAGTGGAAGTGGTATACTTCTGCGTTTCGTCTGATGTGTCAATTTGCCTGGGTCCTATTTATAAATGGTGGTGATGCATCTGCAAACTTACGGCTGTTGCATATGTCAATAGGAGACGGTAACACTAAACACCAGTTGAACCGCCAGCTTATTTCTTTCTTTCTTTCTCTCGTGCATTGATATCTTTATCTTTTTGTCAACAGGTGTCTCAATAGTATCGTGAAAGGGGAATACGTGTATCCTGGCCTGAAAACCTTATCAACATATAAACTAAGCTGTTTATGCATACACTTGTTCATCGGACATTTGTTTTACTATACTGGTCAATGGTTTATTATTGATTTATTATGGGGTCAGCGGCGTAATACACACAAAGTTGCTTAAAATTTTCACATACTTTCATTACGTGATATGAAAACCATATTTTGATAAGAAGCATAAATTATTTTTTGATACATTTCTGATTCGTTTTAGTAATAAATTAATAGATACGTAAGTAATTCGATTCTAAATATATCTTAACTTCACAACAAAAGACAGTTAACAAATGTCATTAAAATGAATATGTGAAGCGTTTAAATTATTAAACTTCGTTTTTGCATAATAACTGTGGAATGGAATAACGTATAAACTCTGAATGTCGTTATCCCCATCTCTTTAAAATTAATTGTAATAATTCTGATAATAGTAATAAGAAATAAAAATTTAAGCCATTTCAATCACAGTAGATTCATTTTTACTGACGAACTATTGATATTATAAAATTTCGTAACATCTACGTTACTAACGAAACACGCGTTCGGGAGGATGCAAAACATTTTTAACCCAAATTCTGCCACGAGAAATTGCAAGAGCGTATTGCAAAAACCCAACGCTTTTGCAATACGCTCTTGGCCAAATTTTGTTATTCAGTCATAGGCGAATAATTTATAAGCATCGGAAGATAACGATATCAACACATTTGCCGACTAAGAACGTTTTTAATATTGACCTTGAAAAGTTGTCTACATCGGAACCACTGCAACGGCGCAGCCGAGAAGAAAATGATAAACATTCTACACATATTACTTAGATGCTCAAAAAATTTGGTTGCGAATTTTTGTACATAAATATTTGTTATATCTAGTAAAATTGTAATTATTTTTATTAAGTGAAAGCCTTTTTTCAGACGAGATTTTCTTTAAATGTTAAAAAATAAACTTAACTTTAATTGTATATTTTTTTAATTAACTTTAATTATAATATATGGTATCATTATCTCCGCCACAAATCGAATTGAAATCACGTCCATACAGTTAACTATTAAATGAGTAAGCGCTCTCTGGGATAAAAAAATAAAATATTCCGCTATTAATTTCTTTTGTAATCACATTTCACAATATTTTTTGCAACGCGTGTCACAAGCATGCTGTCCTTTCCTTCGTGTCGTTCTATTCTAACACTTGAGTAAAGGTCACTGCCATGCATTTGCATTATAATATTTTTTTGGTAATAACCGCTTTATCGGTAGTATAAGTAGAGTGCGTAGTTTCTAACCAGGCGGACTTAAGGTAATGGGTTTATACCCCAAAAGGTCCATAATAACGCTATTTCTATATTTAGAATTTCTAAAGAAAAAATATCACTGTATCTCATTTGTTCCCTAGACTCAACATCAGTCGCTATCGCGACTCGAGCTCATACAAACATGAAATAGTTGTTCAACTCTATATCACGTGTTGAATTATAAAGAATAAGATGTTTATGCACATAACTATAAAATTTCTGCTTATAATGATTTCTTGTAACGAGGAATGCAACCCACAAAATAAATATTTAAATGGTCACAATCCATCCTTACTAACATTATAAACGCGAAAATTTGTATGTATGGATGGATGTTTGTTACTCTTTCACGCAAATACTACTAAATGGATTTTAATGAAACTTTACAATAATATAGCTTATACATCAGAATAAGACATAGTTATAATTCATATACATATTTTTATGTGTATCTGTCTTTCTGTCTGAATGTTACGCCTTCAGCCTATTCTACGCAGACGTAGTCGCGGGCAGCAGCTAGTCATCTATATATACAAGCCTCGAGTAGCGCTCCTGCCTCACAATAACCCAGTGAAATTTACCAAAGTAGATCGTACAACTAAAAGTAGGTATATCTAATTGAGTATCTAGCACAAAATATTGCCAATTTCGATGTTCACATATTGATACAAAAACCGAATTGTTCATAGTATATTAATGAACCAACAAATAAATTAAAGAGCTCTGGTTACGATCACAAGCCATCCTAAACATTAAAAACAATATGGTACATCCATGTTTTACATGCATCGTGAGTCATTAATGACAATAAATATTACGGACTTCAACAAAATATCAACAGAAATTTTACAAGCCACTGAAGACGATTAGTCAGTGATTACCCCAATAAAGTGGTTACCTATACAACATCCAAGTTTATCTGTCACATCAGCCATAAAAACACAATGGATAATCCTAATATTATTGATTTACATCATGATATTGGAATACCGATGATGATTCGTGAGGTAACAAAATTTAAAAAATCCAATTATCATAAACATAAATTAATAATACAGAAGCATTACCACCCGGGTACCATTGACTTAAAATCCTACAATTATTAAAATAGAACTCAGACCATAGCACATTAAATCTGGAGATTTCGAGATCATTTTCTATTTAGATTATATTAGAATCCATAATTTAAAAGTCGTTGATCCCCATTAAACAGTGCCGGCAGAAGTAAAAATTGTTTCCGTTCATGAACTATGAGCAAAGTGCTCAACAGTTCAAATGTGGTACCAATAACTCTCAAAGAAGTTTTGTTTATAATAACTGCCAATAATAATAATTAAATTTTATTTAAAATAATTTTTTTTTATAATAACTGCCTTGCTTTCTTTCTTGGTCGGCGGTTTTTACTCAACCGAAAACGAAAATCTATTTTACTTATTATTGGATCTCACTGTATTCTCATTGCATTGACAGGCAATTGTCAATAACAAAGTTTCCTATTTAATGATAATTTCTTGTATTTACGCGAATACACATTACTAAATGATTACGGATTTTATTTTGGTTTTACTTCCCGACGTTTCAAACCCTTTTCAGCATGGTCACGGGACAGACGGAGGCATTGGACGTCTGAGTGTGATTGTTTATCCTGGCTACGGCCAGTTTTTAATTATTAACTTTTATGTCAATCTACGCAGAACATGCTTATTTTATCTTGTCTTGCAGTAGTGGTTGGTTCGGGCATAGATTTATTTTTATTAATAATATGATCGCGAGCTGATGGTAGTACCCAACCTTCGTCAACGCCTCAGTCTGCCCCGTGACCATGAACGCTGTAAAGGATTCGAAGCGGCGGGGAGTAAAACCAAAATAAACGTGATAAATCCGTAAACATAGTATCATTTACAGTGTTCTATTTACCTATTCAGGGCCTTTTTCACTTATGAAACACTAAAATCTTAACGTAGACCTGTTGGCTGCTTGCTTCATTACCTGATTCATTTATATTATACTCATACTAGTATATTGTGATGTAGTGTGGAGTAAATTAAGTAACCATTTGTAAGTAAATTAAGTAAACGTTTGTAATTTTGAGGAAGGGAGGAAAATTCCAATATACATCAACAAGGCATACCGAGTTTTATATAGTGATCCAAATTCTAATCTGAAAGTGCCCTACTCTGAGACGAATGTCCACTAACAACAGACAACATTCTCCCTTTACCTAGGAAGAATTAGTATTAAATATAGGATTATTATATTATTTATTGACTAAGTAGCTATAGGACTGTCTACATCTGTTGAGACATTACATTGCTTTATTGTTTACAATTAAATTTTGTAATTCACTACTATGTTTCTCTTCTTTTCTCATTCTTATTTCTAAATAACTGTTATGACAAAAAAACATGAGGGCCCGTTTATATATTTAGGCAACAAAATATCACAATATGCAATTTAGTAAATAAACAATACATTCCTTAAAGTTTATAATAAACACAATGACAAAAGACAAGCAGTGAAGTCCGTTTTAAGTTTTAACGATTAACAAGACAAGTCACTCTGTCTCGGTTTTTGCCTTTTTGGTTTGCGCGTTGTCGCAATTAAGTCTTTTTAATATCCGTACATAATTTTTTTTAACAGACTTCCTTTAAATTTAAAAGTGCATTTGCGTTGGAAGTAATAAATGTAAATATAAAAAGGAAAACCTAAATTAAGATTGAAGTACCATTTATATATTATGTTGTGACCAAGAATATCTTTTAAATTATTTTTTTCAGTTTTTATTTTTGTTATTCATGTCAATGTCCGTGATAGCTCAGTGTCCGGGCGCTCGCCTTTAATTCAATATACTCGAGCAACCTGAGTTCGATCCCCGGTGCCGGCACCAATGAAGTTTTTAACTTTAAGTGCTGACTTATCACGTGCTCCGCGGTGAAGGAAAACATCGTGAGGAAACCTGCATATTTTCGAAATAATAACAAAAAAAATCGAAGATATGTGAAGTCTGCCAATCCGCAGTGGGGCCGCGTGGTGGACTATGCCCTGATACCCTCTATATAGAGGAGGCCTTTGCCCAGCAGTGGGACATGCATAGGCTGTTACTTTACTTTACTTTATGTCAATGTCCCTGTCAAGGCTTAAAGATTCGGGTACTTGATGTTCTTGTATTGTATTCAAAACGATATTTAACACACGACTAGCTGAGCATACCCAATGCTCCACTTGGGTGCTTGAAATATAAATAAATATATAAGAAATATATCGAAAAGAAGGGTCGCGACTAACGATTTCTGTAGAGAGTATTTTTGATATTTTAGTAAAAAACTTCCTTAATGCTCTTTTGGTTCGTAATTGCCCACATCCAATCACGTGAATGTTCATAATTGACGTACAGAAATACACGTGGGATCCATAAATATTTTTTTCTGTTTTCTAGTATTTGTTGTTATTGCGGCAATAAAAATACACCATCTGTGAAAATTTCGACGTTCTACTTTTCACGGTTCATGAGATACGGCTTGGTGACAGACGGACAGACAGTGGAGTCTTAGTAATAGGGTCCCATTTTATTACTAAGACTCCACTGTCCGTCTGTCTGTTACCCTTTGGGTATGGAATCCTAACAAACAATTTTGGTTAAGTTAGTCATAATTCAGTGTTGAACATCCAAAGCATTTGTTAGTTAATTCCTGTTCCTTTGCTAATCACGGAGGGTTAATGGATTTGAAAGAAATATATTTGCGTTATATAATCATTATGAAAACACTTATCCTCATGCTAGTAGTATAAGATTAAAGGATTTTTACCCATTTCTGTATTAAAACTTTAATAATGTT